TAATTGTATTGGATTATTTTATTTTTGCCTTTTTGCACTTCGTAGCATTTGCAACAGCTGACTGGAAAAAGCTTGGATAGAGACAGGGATTAAGAAGCAAATAAAAAGTTGTGTAAACTATTATTAACTCTGGTGCATGATGACCAGAGTATCACAGTTTCAGGACACTTGTCATCATACCAAGGCTCTGACCTCTGCTTGATATAAGAAGCACGGTGATTCAGTTTTCAGATATCATTACAGTACAATCATTGCTTCTTGGCGTACCTTTGGCTATCTGTATGGCCCATGTCATGATCTGCTCCATGTCCATCTCCTCGCTCTGCTCACTGGAGAGGTACTCATACAGAGACCCTCCACTGGCAAACTCTGTGAGAACACACACATTGTCATTATCCGATAACAGTTCAAATATATAGAGCACACGGAGCTACTGTACACATTAACAAAACCTGGTATTGTAGAATAAATATCAACTTATATATAACTGTTACAGCAGATAACAAACTATGTAGTTTGCCTTTTAAATAGAAGTTACACAAATTCTAAACTAGTGACAGAAACTGCCCTGTAAAACATGTCGAAGAAAGCTCTTGCCTGGACATTTCTGCAGTGCAGTAATAGTTTACAAATGAAGGTATTTAAATGTTTGAGAAACATCACACAGCTGAGCACAGTACGCCACACAGACCATCAAACAGAGACTCAAACCAGTGGAAAAGCTCAAAACCTTCAAACCCTGACGGTCTAATCCAGATTATCTCTGCACTTTTAACCTTTTTCAGTTTCCTGTTAAATCCGGTAATTAAAAGAGACAAGTAGAAGACAGAGGATAGCTTCAAACAGGTATAATCTGTCCTTTCCTAATGGATTTGTAAACTCCAGTTCTTATTTTTGCCTACTATACTCTTTTATTTTTAGTAAGCATTGGACTATATTGACTCAGCTGCAGCTAGAATTGTTGCCCGGCAAGTCTGTAGTAGTGTGTCGGTGCTATATCTTAACCATATGAACCCATCGAGGATTACAAACACATCCAAACATGCCGGTCTCAGTTACAAATGTCCTGCCAGGAAACCCAACAAGAACCTGCTCTTAGAGTAAACATCAATATTTCAAAACACACACATAAACATCAGTCGGAGCATGTGCTAACGGGTTCGTAAGCACCACATTGAGGATCAAATACACAGTAATAAAGATAACATGCAGATTTAATAGTGTAGTTTTATATTAGTGGACACCTTGCCCTGTCCCTAGCCCTTGATGCCGTACATTAAACCTTGACATGACCTCCAACCTTATGTTCCTTATATCTCTAAGGCCGTAACCCCAAAGATAATAATACTCATCTACATTTATAGTGCACTCTTATCTGAATTAAGCACATGTTTAGGTTTTATGTTCTGAGAGGATGAGTCCCATAAAAATAGACAAGCATTCGCACACACATGTGGGGTCTGACCTGTGATAATGCCATAGTTGGGAGATTCCAGCACGGCTCCATAAAACTGAATGATGTTTTTATGACTCAGGACACTGAGAATCTCAGCCTGGATGAGGAGACAAGACAACAAGAGAAACAGAGATATATTCATTTCATTAGCATCCTCCTTTAGTTTTCCAATAACTGACATTGGCAAAGAAACATGATCTTTAAGAAAATAAAGTGTAAATCATTCCGGATGGTTAGTAGGGGTGTGCGGGATGCCTGGACTGAGGTCTGAGCCTCCTTCATACCACAGGTTAGGTCTCTAAACAAAGACCTTTCACACAGCAGTGACAAACATGCCAATTCATCTGAACTGACATATAAGTCATACCCTCTGAATCGGTGGAATATATGACCGTTGCCAAGCAACATAACAACTAACCAGCAATATGAGGTTACACTAAAGACTGAACCAAAGTATTTTCGTATTAAATAATGGTTTTTAATCCATGTGTGAAGATATAAGTGTGTAAAACTGTCATAAAACATAAACAGAGGCCATTCTGCATGATTACCTTTGTTTTGTATACTTTAAAAACATTACTGGGCTAATTTGTCTTACATAAACATTCAAAAGCACTTAGCATACAGTAGTATCACAGTGTGATGCTATATAGTTGATGTCAAACTTTTTCCATTACTATGTTAATGTATTGTTTGTAAAAAGATGACTCAAAATATATTCTAAATGCGAGATCTCTTTTTAAAGTATCCACTAAGCTGGATTTAAACATGATTCATCGATTTGTATTGCCATATTAATTGTACAAACACTTTAAGCAAGTGTGTGAGAGAGAAAAAAAGTCAGACAACTAATCAAAGTCTCTCCTTCAGCCCATGCATGCTGTGTCCTTAACCTCTGTACTTCTCTTTTAAATGTGTTTTACATTTATAATATTTAAATCTGCGACCACAACAGCAAAACTGGCTGATTTTCTTTTTTTTTATTCCAATTCTATTTCAATGTAAATACTGCTATATATAATGTTTTCTATCTGTGTTTTTAATTTTTTTGTTTTATTAATTTATATGCACCACAACACCAAATAAAATTAACCTACCTGGCAATAAACCTGTTTCTGATTCTGATTCACTCACAGGTCACCCTAACTACAAACTGTCTCCTGACACTGGGTCATGAGCCTCCACCAGCCGAGTATTAATAACATGGAAGGACATTTTGTTTGGATTAGTATCGGGGTCATACTAATGGAGAGCCGCCTGATCTGCAGTGCATGAAGCTGCAAACGACCACACACTTAACACACAATGGGAGGAACAGGGGACTACTGGCATAAATACTCAAAACTAACCATCTACATGGAGTGGCTGAAGGAGGGGGAAAAAGAGAGGTATGTTTCAGATAAACATGTTCAACGGCAGACAAC